ATCGAGATAGATATAGACAAATGTATACATAAATGCTCAGAATGAATAGAGAAGTCGATTAAGCTATGTCTGTCTGTCCGTCCGTCCGTGTACACGATAACTCGAGCAAAAATTTAGATATCTCAACGATATTTAGTATGTAGGTTTCCATTTATCCAAGGTAGGTTGATATTGAAAATGGGCGAAATCGGACTGTAACCACGCCCACTTCCCATATAACGGTAATTTTCAGAAATACGAAAACTTTGAAAATTGATATTTACAATCATTTTCAGACGAAAAATAAGAATATTAAAAATTTTTGGAAAATGGGCGTAGCCACGCCCACTTATGGTTACATGTGTATATCTTGGTAACCGCTGCACCAATTTCTCCCAAACTTGGCACAGTGATTGGCGTTGGTACAACGTACCAAANGTAATGCAGAATTGAAAATTCATAAGGGAAAATTATAGTTTTTGTAAGTTTTATCTTAATATCTTAAAAACTTGTAGAATTATTGAAAAATGATAAATGAACGTAAGGTACTAAATTTAATAGCCCTTAATTTGATATATCGTCCTGTTTATAACAACTAACGCATTCCATAGATATTACAAGCCAAAGTTTCATTTTCAAAATTCACACACTTTGATTCAATTGCGCGGGCTAATAATTATTTGATTAATTTCTATTATAAATCAGCAAGCCAAACTATAGACAAAACTTAAGAATATTTAATAACTGCTTCAATTATTTATTTGTTTTATTCTTATCCAAATCTTTAATTTTAAACATTAATTATTACTTTTATAAATTTTTAAAAAGAATAATTAATTAATAATTTAATTTATTTTAATGATAATTATACCCGAGCGCACAAGGGTATATTAATTTTGTTCACATAACGGTTGTTTGTAACAGCCAAAACGAATCGAGATAGATATAGACAAATGTATACATAAATGCTCAGAATGAATAGAGAAGTCGATTAAGCCATGTCTGTCTGTCCGTCCGTCTGTCCGTCTGTCCGTCTGTCCGTGTACACGATAACTCGAGCAAAAATTGAGATATCTCAACGAAATTTGGTATGTAGGTTTCCCTTAATCCAAGGTAGGTTGGTATTGAAAATGGGCGAAATCGGACTGTAACCACGCCCACTTCCCATATAACGGTAATTTTCAGAAATACGAAAACTTTGAAAATTGATATTTACAATCATTTTCAGACGAAAAATAAGAATATTAAAAATTTTTGGAAAATGGGCGTAGCCACGCCCACTTATGGTTACATGTGTATATCTTGGTAACCGCTGCACCAATTTCTCCCAAACTTGGCACAGTGATTGGCGTTGGTACAACGTACCAAAGCCGAAAATTTTTAAACTCGGACAATAACCACGCCCACATCCCATATAACGGTAATTTAGAGAAATACAAAATCTTCGATAAATCAGTAAATATTAAAGCTAATTTATTCAAAATTGATGCTTGCAACGATTCTTTACCAAGAAATACGTTTATGATAAAATTTTGGAAAACGGGCGTGGAACCGCACACTTATGATCACATATATGTATCTCAGTAATCGTTATACCAATTTGTACCAAACTCGGTGTGGTTATTGTGCTTGCCACATAAAAGCAAAACGTTGAAAATTATTGAAATCGGAATAAAATTACGACCGCTTTTCATATAACGGTAAATTTCAGAAATGCTTGAAACTTCAATATTTCGAAATTTAAGGGCGCTAATTTACTCAAAATTGTTACACAACGGCTTACCATGGTAGCTTCCGGAAAGGGGAAAAACATATATTTAATACTTGCGCCGGCTATTTAATGTTCGGCTCCGCCCGAGCTTAGACTTTCTTACTTGTTTTAATTTAGTTCACTCAAAAATGAACTAAAGTATGTATTCATTTTATTTTTAACTAAAATGTTTTCTTTTGCATATTCAATATCATTAAAAAATTATAAAAATATAGTATTTATTGTGCCTAAAACCTTTTACTTTTAAAAACAATTAATGGAAAAAGCATTTAAATTTATGTTCGAAAGTTTGAAATATTTATGTATTTATTTTTGCCTTTAATTAATACTCAAAAAATTTAACACTTATATTGGCAAATATAAGGCTGCTAAATAAAAATGTGTAATATATTAAAGTGTACTTAATCAAAAGTGTTTTACTATATATTCATGAATTCATTTAAGTTTTTTACTCCCAAAGTAGTGGGCTTGGTCCATAACTGGCCTAGTATTTTTCTGCCTATTTTGAACTAGTATGAGACTGGTATATTTCTGACCGAAATCTGACAATTGCCATCTTGTAGGACATCCCCATGTTAAAAATACCAGTTGATTGCATGGAAAAATGATAGTTGGCTGACTAGTTGGGCATGCGGTTCATACTAGTTGTGAGGTAGTTTGCAACTAGTACATTTGACTACAGGGTATGTATGTATATTACATATAAATAAGCACGCCTGCATAGGCCGTACATACCTACATTGTCAAAAATGGCACATAGGTATTTTAAAAAAGGACATCAAATATATGTGGATAAACCATGGACTGAATGATGAAAGCTGCTATCACTCGATGGTTGTTATGCATAATTATTTCATGTTCTGCATATTTTCCAATCTTTTAAAGAAAACAATTATAGACACTAATTAACTTGGAGCATTTTGCACTCAGGTTTTAAACAACCAAAACTATAAATTTGTACAATATGTTCATGTGAATCAAGCTGCGTTTCATGCGGGAAGAAGTCCAAGCATAAGCATCCATTCGTAGGACATGGCTTAGCCCACGTGGCCGCTGTGCATTGATACGCGACACGTATGTCTATATCGTTTTAAAGCTCATACAACTCATTATTCCATCTTCTAAACGTACATATTTTTCTTAGTGTATAAAATTTGATTGGAACTGAATTAGAGAATGCACACATAGCAAAGTGTTTATTCATCTGGAAGGTAATTCAGTATTGAATTCTGTTTACTTCAGCATTCTCAGTTTTTCATTCAGGTATATACCACCTTGCTGTGTGAAATCAATTTTTTTTTAATGATTGTAGATTGAAAAAATATAAGCCACACTACCAGACATTCTACCATGACATTCTGTAATTTGCCATTGTTGGGACCAGGAATCGACTTTTAAACCTAATAGGAAATTAATAACTCTAACTTTATTTTATTATATCGTTAATACAAAAGAAAAACAAATTCCTATGAAGTATTAGATTCGAGTAAACAAACAAATTAAAAAACAAAAATCGAAGTCGGGTGAGATTTGAAGAGTGGACAGCTTTCTTGACACAAAAATATGTTTCCAACTATGCGCCGTTGGATCGTTGGGAAATCAAATTTCGTTTTGTTTCAGGTGTTAATTGTTCCTTTAATTCACAAGATCATAAGAGACTGTGGTGTAGATTTAAACTACCACATAGTTCATGAAACTTAATTTCTTGTTTTTGCTCTCGTTTCATAGGAATTGTAGAAAAAATTTAGAAAAACGAAGAAAAATTTAACATTTAAACCGTCAGAAAATAAAAACATGAATATTAACGCCGCTTGCACGAAAATAGATTGACATATGTTAGTTTTTGGCCGACCTTCTCCTCCGATTTGTGGCGTGCGCCTTGATGATGTCACACAAAGTGGAGGGACCTACAGTTTTACGCCGACTCCGAACGGCGATTGTATTTTTATGAAATGCTATTTTTCATGGCAGAAATACACTCGGAGGTTTGCCATTTCCTGCCGAAGGGCGACCGCTGTTAAGAAAAAACCTTTTTCTAAATTTGTTTGCGATATTGCTTTGACCAGGGACTAAACCCAGGCTCTGCGGAGTGGAAGCGCTTACTTGCACCACGGCATTGGCAATCAGCATCCCTACAATACAATTTTTCATGCATACAAAATCCATTAAATACTCCAATAAAAATTCGGCGTTTTTTCGAGAAAAAACGCGATTTTCTTGGGTTTTAGTGCTTTTTAAATTCAAAACTTGGCAACACTGGCTGTTAGCGTTGCTGAATATTTGCTATGTGGACGGCTTCCTTTGAATTCATGTTGTTGTTGTTGTTGATGTAGCGGCTACAACAACCCCGCCCAGATCGGTTAGTCCCTCAGTCGTTGTTGTCAAGCTCTACTAGCGGTAGCCCCAGGAAGCGTGCAGCATCGACGGGGTCTGTCCATGGGGCCAGAGGCGTTAGTAGTACGAAGTGATGCTGTGAGTCTTGGGGCGACTCTCCGCATGCCAGGCGTTCGTTTAGAACATCCTCGTTTAACCTGCTCAGGTATGAGTTGATAGTCAGTTTTACGTACCGGAATGACTCTGGTTTTACCCGACCAAGGGCTGTTGTTTCGGCGATCTAACCCCGTTTAGGTCAGCGAAATCCCTTGAATTCATGTATTCATAGCCAGCTGTCGAAGACAAGGTTCTATGTGAACGGGCCTTAACTCTATTAAAATCCGTTCTCTTTTTACTACAAGAGATATACACCTTGAATTTTGTCAACTTATAAACCCAGGTACAATATATTTGCCCACGATAAAAAATCAAATTCCCAAACCACCAATATTCAACATCAAACATGAGTATGGGCACTGAGTGCCCAACTCACGATTCTAAGGTTAAACGAGATTAACTTCTTCTAAACTTTTTCAAGGTAGTATCTCTGTAAATACCATTCAAACATATAGTTTTGCTATGTTATGTTGTTTTATTTATTTTCAAATCCCATATTATAAACTTTTATTATTCGGAGTTTAGGATTCGCCGACGATGATTAATTAATTACTTAAAAAATTTGTTAATTTAATCCAGTTCATACGGAATAACTTCATAGCCAAAAGTACCGATACGAGTAGGTATCGATACTTTTGATCCGATATTTTCCGGATATCGATACTTTATTACGATACTATGTACTTCCAAGTACAGGTATCGATACCTGCATGGCATCGTTTCATCCCTATCATAAATGTGTATTGCGGTATTATGAATGAACTCATCACATTGCGATTCTAATTCATAGTGCTTCACCTCGGGCTTTCCCTTGTGGATGCTTAGTATCATAGAATTTGTACACATTTATTTGAAAGTTATTAAATTGCAATTGACGTTCATAAATCGCTTTGCATGCGAATGAACAATACATATGTAGTATTGTCTTCGGTGCAACATGGAAAACCCGAAAGATGTCTCGAGCCACATGAAGAATTAATTAAAGCAGGGGTTTCAGTCAATATTAAATTATGGCTCATGCTTGAATTTAATTGATCTATTGACATAGTTTTTCATACAAACCGTGTTTTTAGTTTCTATCTCCATTTTGACTTGAGTTTCGCATCCGTTCTACAGCAGATATGAAAAAAATTGCAATAGTTGATTGCTAAATCAGTACCCAGAAGGACATACATACATATAACTTACTCGCCCGTACATCAGGCAGTGCCAAAATAACCTGAAAATGCATGATTCGTAAAATGTTTGCAGTTCTAAAGCGTTAAATGTAATAATTTACTTACATTTTCCAATTCACATTCGGGCTCATTAAGACAACACTGCAAATAAGCGTATAAAAACAATAAATGTATTTATATATTTTTACATGGATAAATATTATGAAAAATACTAATAAACAAATAAAGCTGAATGTAGTTAAAAGACTATTATGTTTTTAATTAAATATAAAAAGCCGCGGATCTTAAAAAATACTGCGCCTACGCACCCTATTGCCTGTATCCTGGTCGTGTGCAAACATTTCCTGTTAAAAAATGAAATAAAAAATTGGCAATAAAAATAGGAGTCTTTAATGAACGTAACAGAGTATTACTACAGTGAACTTATGAAAATTTTGGATAACATAAATCTTACTGTGAGAAATAATGTTTCCTCACCTTAGGAGTATGTGAATGTTCCGGGGCCAAGCACTGTAAATATTAAGAATTAGCTGTTACCTATGTACATATGTATCTATTTGAAACATCTTACAGTCGCTTTTCTGGAACCAAAAATGTCATTTAGGTTGACAGTTTGGAGTTCGAGCCCTTGGATGTCCCAATGATTATAATGATATGCATTTTTCAAGAGCTTCATAAGCGAACAAATATCTTGGCGATATTTCTGCTCAATATTACTGGTTTGGCTGCAGGTAGATTTGATTCGACGCTTCATGCTCTCTAGCCGTTCTGCAACCTCGCTCTCTAGATCTGCCATATTGCCAATGATTACATCATTTATTTGCATTAACGTATCCACCCATTCTTGGTAAGTTATTAATTTGATCTTTTAAAAATTAGAATTATTTTAAAACTCGTATTATTCTTTGTAGACAGGATGTATTTATTAAACAAATTTCATTAACTTATATTTCCGGCTCTATTCTGTATCAGTGACAAATTCTTGTCACAGTGCTTTTTACAGAAAAATATATGAAAAAGTTTAAATTTGTCAGTAAAAAAAATTTTGTCCCCGATACAGAATCGGGCTTTTAGTGATAGAACGATAAAACTACCGAGTACATAATATCGATACTTTTCATGAGTACTGAGTAGTATCGAGAACTCGATACTTTTTAAAAATGAGTAAGTATCGCGAATACCTAAAAGTATCGACGTGTTAGTCCGACTTGCAGAACAGCAGGTTGTCTATTTAACTCCAAGTTTAACGATTAAGGGGCGGTTACTCAATGTCTGGTTAGCACTAATCTGCGGTTAAACATCGTTGTCGATGTCTTCGGCTCCATGCATACAAGAGGGAGTCGGTAACGTGGATAACTATGTTTAACCGGAGATTAGTGTTAACCAGACATTGAGTAACCGGCCCTAAATGGATAAATTGCACAATCAACGCTTAGGAGAAAAATCAGAATTAAATCGTTAAATATTTAGCCCAGCAATTTTCTATGGTTAACTTGATAACTATACATATGTCAATTCCGTCAGTAACAAGAATAAAAAATTAAGTGTGCTGTGCAATCCCGGTAGAAGTGAAACCTTCGTAAAATTACTTTCATAAAATTCATAAATTTTTTTTTTAGATTTTGGTTGGTTATTTTTTTAACAATTCGCAACCGTGTTGCTGTGGCTAAGGAGTTCATTAATATTTACTTAAAATTAATATACATATACATAGTTACAATGGCTCTTAAGCAAAATATTAATTTTTGGCAAAATGTTAGGACAATGGGCGTGGCACCGACCACTTGTGTATATCATATATGAATATCTCAAAAACTAATTGACCGACCTCAACCAAATCTGATACCACGGTTGCCAACCGTCCCGTTTTCGGCGGCACTGTCCCGGATTTAAGAGCTATGTCCCGGTCCCGGTATAAAATATGCCGGGACACAAAAGGACCCGGTTTTTGGAAATTTAGAAATATCGTTGTAAAAAATTTAGAACTCTTAAAATAGTACATATATTTTACAAATTCTATTTACTAATCGACACTGTACGCCGTATTTTGTTTGCTACTGCGACTTCCTGCAGCCGAGTTTTAGAAATCACGCCAGTTATTTCTCTTCTGTGCCAACTGACGCTAATTGGAAATGCCAAGGGAAGTCAAGTCCTTCTCCACTTGGTCTATCCATTGCAGCGGAGCCTCACGCTTCCTCTGCTACCACCAGCGGGTTTCGAGCAGTGTTGCCACAAAATTTTTTTATTTTTTACCAAAATCACCGGAAAAAGTTACCAAATTCAACAAAAAATTACCATACTTATTTTATGTGCAGAACTGTACAAAGATACATTTGTATGTACATATGTACTTATATCCGAAGACACGAAGACTTTCAGGCAATCAGCGCTCCATTCACCTAAAATTTTTATAACCGCGTTAACGCTGAAAGCCACAACAGAATCCCTTGCTAAGGATCTCAAGCCTATGGCCGAAGAAACAAATTTGTCGATTTCGCGTCGTTTTAAGAACATGGTACTCTCTTATGGCTAATTGCATATTTTTCATTTGGGTATACATCTCCATCGATACAAACCTCAGGCCACAAAACAACTGACGGCATCTGATCATTCAGTGTCATGGATACGGTTCATTGCAACAGAGGAGTTTCAGGCGCATAATTTTCCGCAGAGGGGATGTAATTTGACCACTGAGATCATCCGGCTTGGCACCATTGGACTTTTTTATGAGGCTATTATAAAAATCAACGGTAATTTTTTAGCTATTTGAAACTTGGACTTTATTCTACTCGAACTCAATGGGCTACAAAATTTTATACCAGGAATCTTTCTAGGAAATCTAATTAACCTCAAGATTTTTACGAAAGTTTGTTGATTTTTTTTTTTTAATATTGAAAAAATTTGAAACTTGGATTTACACGGGTTCTGCTAAAGAAAGAACTATATTACAAAAAATAACCAAAATTAACATACAAAAAAATAATATGTTAAAATTTGAATATGGTACGGCTATAATTTTTTCGACCACTGTATGTCAACAAGTAGCCGAAAATATTTCAAAAATGCAACGCTTGTAGGCAGTCCTGAAAGCTTTCGACTCACACATAGACAGAGTAAAGTCCCCCACTGAAGGCCGTAGCGTTTTGAACGATAACATACATATTTACATAGAATTCAACTCATATGTATGGTTGCCGGGTACAATGGAAAATTGATGGTAATTGATGGTAATTGCAAAGCTTACAAACTGACGGAAAGGTACGACCACAAACCTTCCGGGAAAGGACACGGTAGATATAGCATTCGCCACTTTCAAGCAGTTTGCTATAGATCACACCAGTCTTTTAACCAAGGAAAGTTGGAACAACTTTTCGCCTTTCAGGATTACCTGGTATTTTTATAAAATTAAATGATTTCAGGTCACTTCCTAATGTGGAATCTGAACCTTTATTGAGCTATGTGATATGTAGGACCGAATCGAAAAAGTTACAAAATTGAAAAATAAATTACCAAAATACTAAAGTTGTTAAATAAAGAAAATAACCAATTTTGGTTAACCTTTAATTTTTTTTAATTACTCTCCTATGTTGCGCTCCAGCAACTTGATTTTCTCAGTATCTTCTCATTTCGATGTCGTTATTGATCAGTTATGTTTTTGCTGTGGAAGGTGTAGCGTGGGCGGAGAAATGCTGATGCTGGTATAAAAATTATTAAATTATTAAAAATTAAATTTTTTTAATATGATCCCTTTTATTTCTTTAAATATATATATTTGGCTGTGAAAAGATGCCCCTCAAGCTTTAGATTAATTTTTATTTTACACTTTTTTTATAAGTTTACTATGTGATGTTTTTGTTCTTGTGAATACTGAACGCCTTGTGAAATAAAGAGGGACTTTTGTTGATTTTAAAAGAAAAAAAAAATTTGTATTGTATTAAATTTTGTATTATTATTTTAACTTAAAAATCTAGTAGCTTAGTTTAAAAAAAAAAAAACTAATTATAAAATGGCCAATTTGTATTCGAATTTCTAACTAAATTTCGAAGGGGTAAAATTTACCACCAGGTCACAGACTATGTCCAAAAAATTCACCTCCATAGTTAAAGGTTAAAAATTAGCAAAGCGGCAACGCTGGTTCCGAGTTGAATACTTTCCGAGCTGGAGCGTCGGAGTCCATTCGAATGACATTGGATAAGCCAGCGGAGCCCCTGTATTTTAATTCGCTGCACTATGTCTATGTCGTTGTAAAGCTCATACAGCTCATCGTTCCATCGTCTGCGGAACTCGCCGTCTCCACCGCGCAAAGGCCCGTTAATCTTCAGCAAAATCTTTCTCTAGAACACTCCAAGAACCGCCTCATCGGATGTTGTCATTGTCTATGCTTCTGCGCCAGATACCAGCACAGGTATGATGAGTAGAGCTGCCAGGTATTTAAGATCAAAAATAAGTACATGCATGTCAAAAAATCAGTACGATACCTTTGAAATAAGAAAAATGTAGAAATCTTGCTTGTAACTATGTAATTTCTTGGATACAAATTAGTGTCCGGCCGAAGGTTCTGCCCGGTTTTGGCATTCGGTCTACCCGACTGATTTTTTTATCTTCGGCTTCGGCCGAAAAAGCCAAACAATTAGGAAATTCACAAGGTGTAAAATTTGTCGTGTAGTTACATTTTTTTACGACAGTGAAAATTTCATTGTTGTTTCGCATCTCTACATAACACTTTTGAAAATGTAGGAACTCTATATATTAAAACAGGTGAAGAAGTATAGGTTAGAGCGAAACCGAACTTTATATACCCGGCTATACTTCCTCTGCATGAACCAAGTTTTGTAGTCTTAAATTGGCGGTGCCACCAGTGTTGCCAGGTCTTCGGCATGAGAAAACGTCCCTCTTGGTCTGCAAGAACGTCATTTCCTACCCAAAAACGTCCTTTTCAAATATCTTAACAAAGAATTGTTCTTATTAAACTTTTATTGTATGCAAAGGTACATATGTACGTAAGGTATATTAAAATGTCATTTGCTCTGTCACATTTAAAATTCATTCTAAACTGGTTTGAGATCGGCTAATCTAAATCTTCAAAATATCAGCTAGATTTTCAACTTTTTATTCCGATTTTGTAGAATTTTTTTGAGTATGCAGGTTGATACCCCATTGAATTCCAGGGCAATAATGTGCAAGTTTTACGGTGCTAAAAAATCGCGTTGATTTTTAATATATATATTTTTTTTCTTGTAAACATTTGGTTAAGTGGTCTGTTGTCGAAAATGCTAAGTTACGTTCTGTTAAGAAGGAGCATAGCAATATTTCAGCCTTTTTACGTTCATTACATTTTCAATAAGGGGCCCCATACGACTAATTGTGTCATTTTCTTTATGCGCTTAAATAAGGGTTAAATCAACTGTGTCCAAAGAATAAATACTTTTCGAAGCAGCTGCTGCAAAAAACAAAGCTTGTAAAGATTTATTATCATTTATTATATTTATTATTTAAATCAGTTCTACTTACAAGATTTAGTAACAGAGAAAAATTACTGGGAAGCGAAAAAACGTCATTTTGTACGCAAAAAACGTCCAAACGTCAACAGGATACAAAAAACGTCCAAATGACGTTAAAAACGTCAACCTGGCAACGCTGGGTGCCACGCCCAATTCTTAAAATTCTATGGCATTCTTAGTTATTGTTAAGAGATTGTTGTAACTATTAACTTGGAGTAAATTAGCGTCCTCAGTTACTGAAATATCGAACTTTTCTTATGTCTAAAATTTACCCTTATACGAGAAGCGGGTGTAGTTTTAGCCCGATTTGAATAATTTTTAACGAATTTCTTTTCGGTATCAAGGTTATTAAGTGCATC